ACTGCTGCTCTAGTTACAACAGTTACTACACAAGATATCCATGAAGGAAGGAATGGATCAAGAAATGTGGTCTACACACACAGTGGAATATTATTCAGCCATAAAGAATCTCCTATCCTTTGCAGCAACATGGATGGAGCTAGAGGACATTACGTTCAGTGAAATAATTAAACATACAAAGACAGCACTGTATGTTCTCTCTCCCTTGTGAATGTTAAAGTCGCCTGGAAGGTACAATGTGATTCCTAGAGGTTTAGAAGGTTAGGCATGAGAGAAGGTAGTGGGGAGCTGGATAACAGTTACCCAGTTAGATAGTAGTAATAAGTTCTGGTGTTCTGAGAATAGTAACTATAGTTCACAATAACCCATTAAATTTTTATGGTACTGGAGATCAAACCTAGGCCTTTCACACTGGACTACATCCCCAGCTCTTTTTCCATGTTTTTAAAATTTTGACACAGATATCACTGAATTGCTAAGTTCCCCAGGCTGAATTCAAATTTGTGATCCCCCTACCTCAGTTTCTCAGAGTATTGGGATTACAGGTGTATGCTCACATGCCAGCTGACCTACTAAATACTTTATGGATAAGTATGAGGGAGGAACTCAGTCTCCAAATGCAAAGTAATGATCAGAAGATTAAAAACACTGAGTAACCTGATTTGATCAGCACATCTTATAAATAGATGTTGAAACATCACACTGTTCCTCATAAATATCAACAATCATCTCAATATAAAATGTTTGAAAATGTTTGAAGACATGGAAATGTTAACTGCCCTGATTTGATCACTCCACAGTGTATTCATGCATTCAATTATCACACTGAACCTCACAAATTTGTATAATTAAAATCGTAATTCATTGAAAGATGTAAAATTTTTTAAAATGTACATGACAGACACTAACTCTGTACCTATAAGGGGTACGGAAACTGAGGTCTGTAGAAAAGAAACAACAACTTGCTCAAATTCTCATGACACAAATGATCAAGCCGTTGTGAAAGAGATCTGTGAAGGACCATGGACACCACTGGGTGGCCCTGGACGGGCCATGAAATCCAGTGGAGGGCGCAGGCTGCATGGCGGGCTGCAGAGGGTCACAGGGGGCTCTGCCAGGCACCCACTGGGTGTCCTAAGACAGGCTAAGAACTCACTGTGCCCTAGCTGTGTGCGCTATGAACTGGGGCTTTGCGTGGCTCTGACATCATTGAGTCTCATGAGGATCAACTGATCCTATGCCATGCAAATCACGCAGATGTCGTAACAGTGCTAAGGTATTAGTGAACATCAGTTCTTCAGCATCACTACTGTATTTCTCTTTTTTTTTAAACAGAGAACACTCATGTTTATTAAGCAAAATTTTCTTTCCAGGCACTATGTGACATGGTTTTCATCACTACTTCTATATTATAATAGTTTTATCACTATTCATCACCATCATCATCACCATCATCATCATTATCATCAACACTACTTCATGAAGGCTCTGAGACCCAGGGAATGCTGAGTCAATGCAAAACAGGAGAGTACCCCCTGGAGGATAAAGTGATACTTCCAAAGCACAGGTCCGGAGCAATGATTCTTGAGCAGAGTTCCATTCCCCCTTAGAAGTCAGTCTCCTGATCTGATCTGCCGTGGCAAATCCATTCTAACCATACAAGTCCCTCCAGCCCACAAATACAACTTCCCCCCAAACCTCCATTTCCCAGGGTCTATGTCCTTTCATGTCATTCATATTACACTTCACACACACTGCTTTGTGGTCTGGGTTTTCAGGCTCCAACCCTGGTCCGTTTTCACATAAACTGCATGGCTATTTGCAAGTGCAGGCTCCTATTCCCCATCACTAAGCTGAAGGCTGGATCAAAGGCTCTGCAAAGAAAGACCAGGCTAATACCTACCAGGGGATTCAGATACACACAAAATTTCAGCAACATTTGTCATTTATTTGGTCAGTCACCTACTCCTTCCACTTGGCTGTACACTGCATCACCCACAACACCTACTTTCATTCCTTTCTCGGTGATCCCATGCATGCAGAAGGTTGCCAATGAGCATTAATTCAGTAAATGTTTACTAACAGGGTGAAACCACCTCAAAGTCCCCAGTGCCAGGCAGGAGGAGACAAGCTATTGTTGTTGCTGCAAAATCCAGCATAGTTTCTGATTCTCAAAACAGCTCCAATAAGAGTCCTCATGCAATGCCGTGTCGTGTGGTTAAATAACTCCACTCCAGAGGGGAAAAAAAAGTGGCAGCAATAGCGGAGAACACACAAAGACCCAGCTGCCCGAAACATGAATAGCCCGGCAGGGTGATCCTGCCGGGACCCACTCCGAATACAGATCAGAGGGAAGTAGGAAATCTGAGATGAGCCAGGGTCTCAGCAGCAGTGCTGCCCAAAACTCCCTTCTCCTTCCCTTCTACCTGCTGCTTTCTCTCCCCAAATCCAGAGTTCTGCAAGCACAACTTGAGAGGCATTAGGATAAAAAGGAAAAAATCTGTGTAAAGATGGAGGGTCCCAAATGCTGGCCCTGCAGCTGGGCCCAGGCTACATTGTGTTCATTATTCCTGGGACACGTGAGTCAGAGACAGAGTCCATTCTGCAGCTGGCATCCTGTAAGCTAAGTAACTCACTACCAAGAACCAGAGAACAAACACTGGACTTTTTACTTGAGGAAGATGGGGGAAAAGTGGGGGTCTGAGGATCATATACAGAAATTTCAAGGTTCCAAGATCTAATCTTTTTTAAAACAAAAGATTATGACTTTGAAGATAAATGTTATGCTGTCCTTGAAAATTAAAGAATATGACTCAGGCACACCTGCTGTTAAAAAGTAAAGGCGTAAAGTGGAGAGTGTACAATCTGACGAACTGCTGGGGTATGTTTTCTTCCTTCAGACAGAATAATAATTCTGGAAAAAACCTCAAGGGCCGTTGGAAGGGATCCCTGACTCCAGGTTATGATTATCTATGCCTGGAATCTTCTCTTCACAATTTCTAGGGATGGAGCACTCATAAATGTTTTATAGCCCAGTGGAATGTGTTTTTCACCTTGAATGCAGAAGCTCTTCCCTGTGTCGAAGTGAAACCACCACTGCCCTGCCCAAGGACACATCTTGATCCTTCCCCTCTCTGGCATGTTCTCCCGAACCCCTACTTTGTTTCTTAGCATCCTTCTAGAAGGAAAATAAATGAACATAACCTAAAGAAGTGTGCAAAAGAAATTAGTCCATGAATCTTGAACTCTATACTCTTTTAAGAAAAATGATAGTTTTTATTCCAATATTTCTCATAATACACACATACATACATACATGTGTATACACACATACATGCATGCACACTTTTCAAGTGTAGATTGGGTCTGTAAGTTTTATATTCTGTAACCATTTTTGAATTTCCTTCCCATTTTAAACACACTTTGTAGATTCATCAAATTAAAGTCTCCTCCCTATTGTTGTCCCTACTGACTTCCTCTTGTATTGAGACACCATCTTCCCTAATAGGACCAGAATTCAAAAGGATATTAGTAAATCTTCTAAAAGGTGTACAGCGAATTTTATCTTTCAAATTCACTCTCAAGTGTAATGAGTACTTTTTAAAAATTCCTTTATGTGGGCCAGGGATTTAGCTCAGTGTTTCCGCCGCCTGCCCCAAAAACGCAAGGTCCCAAGTTCGAGCCCCAGTACCAAAAAAAAAGACAAAAAATCAATTCCTTTATGTTATCAATTCACTGAGGGCACTAAATGCAGTGGACCTGAGGCCTGTCTCTGCATTCATTCCCGATCTCTAGTTAAACCTCAGCTGCTGGCAACTGCTCCTGAGAGCTGTGTCACCAGCTTGCCCTTACCAGACGTAACCCTGAAAACTGCTTTTGAAAATGGAGTCCCATAACTCCTTGGCCTGAATCCTCATTATAATTACAACTACTGCCCAAGATCACAGGGATCCCTGCTGGACCCCACCTCTCACAACTTTCTCAGCGTCTCAGGTACACTGGCCTGCTCTCTTCCATTCCAGACACACCAAGAACATTCCCATGTCGGCCCTCCCTGTTCTTCCTACCAGAAAGATGCTCCACAAATTGGCTTTCTCCTCCCCTGCTTCTCAGCTAGCTGTTAAATTCCATAAAGGCGCTTTGAGGCTAGCTCTCATGGTTCCCAATCCCTGGCAGACAGGAAACATGTGGAATGAATGGATGTATGTGAAGTTTCATGCATACCATCACCCACGTCTGTCTCCTCGAACCTGACCACAGCTATGCGAGAACTGCTTCCCTTCAAATAAGAGTACAGACAGGAGGGCATCTACACGGTTTAGAAGAAATCCATACGCACACATGTATTTTTCTTGCCCCTTATTACATTTTCACCACTCAAAGTAAATTTCTGATGACAAAATGTACAGAAAACGTATTTTCTTGGTTATCTCTGAACTGATTTCTGTATTCACCAACTCAAGCAGAAACAATAGCATAAGAGAAAAATACAAAGGCTTACCAAAATGATACATTTTGTTTCTACTTTTGTTTCCATGTCAGTGTTATAGTTCCCATAAATGAAAAATGTTTTGTATGGATTCTGAGGCATGAATATCAGTATCAATTTTGAGAGCTGAAGCAAAGCAAAAATGCAAAATCACCCCAAGAACTCAGAAAACACAACTGGAGGAAATTTGGTTTTTTGGTCTTTGGTTTTCTTGTTCTTTAAAATATGTTTTATTTAGATTGCAAATACAAAGGGAGGCATGATCATTACAGAAGCCCAAAGTTCCCTAAAACTATGGAAAATACAGGAAGAATATCATTTTAGCCATCCATTCTAATGTTTCTAATATTGTCTCAAAATTATGAAAAATGTTATGTCATTATGGGTTCGTAAAACCACCACTGGATGACCTTCTTTTGGTGGTGGTTTCTCTCTGTGCAACAAGAGTGTTAAGACCACACATTCTTGAGCCTGGCCCACCCGAGAAGCCCTGCTGGCCTTGCACGCATACCTTGCAGCTGCTATGAGTTCTGGTCTTCATCAGCGGGGTGGTGGTGCACAGCTCGATGGCCTCAGGCTCGTGGAAGATGACGGCTGGGAGAGGCTCCTTTTTCAGTGTGAGGACATTCAGTTTCGACTTCAGCATGGTCTGAAAGTGCTGCAAAGCATAAAAATAAGTCAAATGTAGTCAAATCATTTGGATTTGTACATAATGCAAATTGTATATCAAACTTAGTAGCAGAATCTTTGTCTTAATAACCGTGTTTCACCAAATGAGGGCAAGCGACATTTGTGAAATCGAGAAGGCAACATCCTATTGGGGATGCTACTAAAATGCAACTGTGGGAGATAGCTGATTCCTAAGCAAGACCATGAAAACATGGATTAGTGGTGGAGTCACCTCGCCAAGGACCTTATGTTCTGAGCAGCTTTTCCAAGGTGTCATAAAGATGAATTCCTAGAGGTGCAATCCAAGCAGATCCAGCTACACCAGTAAAGATCATTAGAAGACAGTATAGGAGCTACTTTAGAGAAAGTCCAGTTATCACAGGAGGAGATGAAAATACAAAAAAGGAGACAAGACTTCTGTTCTCTGCCTGCCCCAGCTCTTTCATGCATCAGCTGTAGAAGCTTAGAAAACTCCCCACTTCCCACTTGGCCATTTTTATCTGTTATCTTGAGCCAGGGTCCTAGGAAAATCTCCTTTCTATACGCAACTCTACGGGCACTAGTCTTGAAATACGTCTAAATCTGGTCATATTTAATCCCTACCATCCACACTGCCCCATCCAAGGCTGTGTCTCTCTTTAGTCTATTACAGCAGCACACAAACTGGTGCCATCAATTTCAAACTCGTCCCTATATGCTACACAGAAGACAGAGAGATCCTTCTAGACTCCAACTACGGCATGCTATGCCTCTGTTCAAAGTCTCCAAAGCTTCGCATTTCCTTAAAGAAAAATCCCAAGTTCTTACCTCAGCCATTGAGGTCACGCACAATCCAGTGGCTCACTGCCTCGCTGGTGCTGATTTCCTCTCCCTCCCCTTACCCTCTCATTTGTCGACCCAGTCACAATGGCCTTCTTAGCCTTCTCAGAATAAGCCAAAGACACACGGCCGTGGGACCTCTGAACATGCAGACCATGATGGAGCGTCACCTCGTTACTTCTCATCAACATTATCTAAAGCCACACACACACACACACACACACACACACACACACATGGCTTCATGGGCATGTAACCAGTGCACTCACACGAAACCTTATGCTCAGGAGAACCCCACACTCAGAAAGGCTTCAGGTTTAGTTTAATGCTTTTGATTAAAAGTCAACCACCATCTTAAAATTTCTCCTGTTTGTCTTTGAACTTGTGTTTTGCCAGTGAATTCCAGTGGGGTTGTGCAGCACACTTATGAGCAGAGAAGATGCTCTGAGCACCTCGATCCTTGCTACCCTCTCGCATCTGTGATGACACAGAACTCTGATGGTCCCACGACAATTAGGAATTCCGTGAGAACCAAAGTGCGCCCATGGTAACCATGTGAAGCCCATGACTCAGGGGGCCAGGCTGGGATGGCAATGACAGCCCAAAAGGCCACATGTTGGAACGAGAAGGTTCTTCAAATGCCGAGAGAAGTCACTTGAGTTCTGAGAGACGTGAATGATGAAAGAATCCTGTGCTATCCTTTCCCACTCGCATGACTTTCTTGTCTTAGGCAACCAAGTACCCGGAAAATAATGCCACCTGAGGAAAGGGAAAGCCAGGCAGCCATGGGGAAACCTCTTTCAGTCCTTCCTTCCCTATGAGAAAAGTGCGGGTGAGCTAGAATGTTGGTGTGTCAAGAAGTGAAATGAATACAGACAAGCTAGTTTGGGGCAGCATTTTCACTGTTCTGATAAAACAAACTACAGTCCGAACTAGAAAATGCAAACTGCGACTTCAGATATTGCACCCTTGGCATTGAAAGTAGACTCTGCACAGTATAAAGGTACATTCATGCTAGTAATCCAAGTTTTTAATTTTTTCTCCACACAGAGCAGCATTAAATAGCAAATAATAATCACAATAAAAACACTGTTACTTTTTCAGAGATTTGTTTTTAAAAAAGGAAAAGATGTTCTGTTTAAGAACACCGAATAGCAATTTTTTCTGTGGTTCTGAATAAGAAGGAGGGAGTGAATTTTCATTTTTCATGGGGCTCTGAGAATTCTGTAGGCAGCTCTGCACACAGGTGAACTCGCCACTCTCTGTTCCCTGCCCCTGCTTCATGACTTATCACGCATTCACCACCACTGTAAAGTTACGGAGTTGTTTTGTTTATCTTCATGTGTTCTGCTAAAATACAAGTGCCACAGGAGCCAAAGCTGTTTTATTCGGTGAAATATTCCACCGGCCTGTAACAGAGCCCAGCATACCCACAAAGGTCTGAGAAGTACTTGTGGAAGGTGATAGAAGTAATGCAGTAAAATACAACATGAACCACAAATTTAAAAATAATGCTTTCTAGATCAGTGACTCTCTCCTCACTACCTCCTCCAAGTAGTTCTTTCCAGATCTGGGCCTCTGTTTACAAAGCAAACAGAGGAATAAAAGAAATGAGCAACAGCACACTTACACAAGCACATTCACCTAAGTGTCAATTGTCAGAACCAGCCCTCTAAAAAGTCTGTACAATTCAATGTAAAGCTGTAGAGGTTTGGGGATTTATAGCAGGACAAAGCTTGTTTTTCACAATTCCTCAGAACAAGGACTAGAGCTCCAGCTGGTCACTCTGATGGTCCATTCTTTGCATCAACTTGGACTCAGTTATTTAGCCAAACACTGAACCAGGAGCTGCTATGAAGGTCTTCTGCAGATGTCTGAAAGCCCACAGTCAGTTGAGTGAAGGTAAGGGAGATAATCCTAGATGGCCCAGGTAGAGTTGAGTCAATCAGTTCAAAGATCTGAAGAGGTGGGCCCAGGCTTCCTACAGAAGAGGTCACTGCCCCAGTGGATGCCAGAGTCTCCCCAGGTCTGAGTCCCAGCCCACCTTTCCTGAAAGTCTTGCTTACAATTTCACCTTGGATTCACTGAGCCAGCTCCTACAATTGCAGAAGCCAATGCCTCAAATAAATGTCTTGATATATATCTCCTAGTTCTGTTCGTTGGTTGAACCTTGATAGATACAGCTGCCTTTTAGGAAGCGAAGTGTCACCTCTGATACTTTTTCAGTGGGGGAGAGACTCAACCTTAACATTTCCCAGAGTATTGTTTTGGGGGGTGGGGAGACAGAAAAGGAAGGAAGAGGGAAAGAAAGAGAGGAGGAGAAGGAGGAGGAACAAGGGGGAAGAAAGGAAGAAGTAAGAGAAGGAGGAAGGGAGGGAGAGAGGAAGAGCAAGTCTTCATATTAATCTGGAAGTTTCTGTCTTTGTTCCTAATTGGTTCCTGTCTAATGGAGGGAGGGTGTGGGGTTTGGAGCTGCAAAGTGGTGTGAGAAGTCTGGGAGGAGGGGTGTGGATCACTGAGCCTGAGAGCTTGAGTTGATTTGCCTCTGTGGGAAAGAAACTGGGGCCAATGTCTGAAGAGGATAAAGGGACAAGCAACCCAGAAAATGAGGTAGTAGTGGGGCACAGTTCTGAGACTCCCTTCTGTCATCTTACTGAGTCTCCTTCCACCATGTCTTTGGGAGTCTACAAGAGGTACCAGAAGCTACAGATCATCTTGTCTTGACTTCTGCCTCAAGATGACATGGAAACCAGGCTCCTTCCCAGGAAGATGGAAAAGCTACACTGCCAGAAGTTCTGACTGTCTCACTGTCCTCGCTGTCATTGCTACAGGACAAATTCTGCAACTACTGACTCAGTCACAAGCACACTGAGACCCGGAGCACACACTGGCCTCTGCACTGCTTGGCAGAGGAGCCAAGAAACAAACAAGCAGGCCATCAAAAGGGCCTAAAGTGGGAACAGGAAAATACCATAGTTCAAACTCCAACTTCAACACAATGTGCACACTCAACCCTTCAGAGCCCAGCACTCACTGGCTGATTCACCCCCCAGAGCTGCACTGAACACCTATGCTCAGGAGCCACAGCTGGAGCGGAAATAAATGTCAGCCTCACCCTTGGTGGAGGCCACGTCACATGCAACTCACGCTATGCGAGTGCTTTAGGACAGCTGAAAAGAGGAGCTAGATAACGTGATACAGGAAGGCTAGACACAGGACATGAGTCCTTTAATTTGTTAGGGTTTTGTCCTTTTTGTCCTCTATAAAAAGACAAAGGTAAAAGAGGGAAATAAAAATATATCTTTTTATGTCAAATGAACATTATACAAGGTGCAACCACAAATTACAGTGAATATTTAAATAAAAACATATTTATTTCAGTTAAAGACACATTGCTTCTCTGCTTTGAACACACTTATCCCATGGCTCTTGCCACTTTCTGAAGGACTTCTGGACATTCTTTCGTGTCTTTTCATGGCTGCCTCCATGTCCTGAATTACAGCAATTTCTGTCAAATAAAAACATTACAGTGTCTCCTCACCTACCACATTCACCAGATGTGGCACCACTGTGTAGCTTCTGACTCTTCCCCAAGGTCAGAATATTATAGATAGGTAAGTTAATTAGGCATCTTGTTGGCAGGTAGACAGGGCCACCCTGAGGGTACCAGCCCTGCAGTAGCCAACACAGCAAGGAACCAACATGGAGAACAAATTGAGGCACATTCACTGGGTAGCATTATAAAAAGGAAAAGAAGTACTACTTCCCCTAGAGGTAGATAGCAGTGATTGATATTCTAAATGGGAAATTCCTTGTATATGACTTGTCTTCCCATTTGATCCCCATTTAATCAATATTATCTGGGTGACTGTACTTGTAATCTTATTGGTTGGTCATGATTTTGTCCCATCTCATGCCCGCCTTGTAAATTTCCATTGGGTCTTACAGTTTTGTCCCACTTTGTACCCGCCTCACCTCATGGCTTCACTGTATAAAACATCTTTGAACCATGGAGGGGGGTGGGGGGGGCAACCCACTTTCCGGTCCCCCTTCTGTCTCTCTTAGGCAGAAGCTTTCTTTCTCCCAATAAATTTTTCCTACTCTTAACCTCCTTTGTTCCTAGAATTCATTCTTCGATTTTGGAGAACACAAACTCACGTTTTGGATATC